CACAATAACTCAAAGAGTCAGGTGAGCTGTTCCATTCAATTCAGTGGGTGTTAACTCTGAAGACTAATGCAATGTTTAAATGTCAACATGGTTGACTCATTTGCTGTTGATTGTTCTGGCAAAAGCGCCCACTTACCCAGGGATTATGAATGGGGATTGGGATGGTGGCAGAGTTAGGTTACAGCATGCCCCAGTTTAACCACAGATTCCACTGCAGACAGTGCTGATGTCCGAACAGCTCCAGCTCAAAACACTGTTTCTGCCTGTCCAGCCCATAAACCTACAAGCAACCAAATGCCTTCACAAATGTTTCCTCTATGATTTCCCTTCCCTTCATGCTTAAAGTTGAACTCTCCCCATTGTTTCATTCACAGAAGATACAGTATGGTCGCTTACTACGTCCCCTCAAAACACATCTCTCTCTAACATTATTCATATATTTCTATTTTCTAGGGATTTTCCCAATTCAGAAAGAAATGGCATTGTTTCTAAAATGTTTACTATTAATTCTGCATATTTTTCAAAACATTTACTAATTAGTCACCTATAATTGCTGTCTTGTCTGCTCTTTAACCTCTGCTGATGGAAGGAAGATTTCTTGCAATGTTATGTTCTTGTGTGAAGGGATATGGTCAAGGGGGCTGGGCCTAAAATTATAGTTGCGAGCTGTGGTTTGGTTTGTGGGCACTCACCCCCACTTTGCATTGACTCTGCCCTGCTCTTTTCTTGTGAGCACACAGAATATTAAAATCTACAGGTCTCAGCCCGGAAAGCAGAATATTTTTGTTTGCTTGTTTCAGTGCCCAGGTTGCTAGAAATACTGAGAGAGGTTCATGCAACCACAACAAGACCTTGCAGGCTAACTGGACTCTAGCTTGATGTGTCTAAAGGGATCCCATCCCACATCAAACACCCACAGCTTCCATGGAACACACAGCAGCACGGTTGTTATCATTGGTGTCTAGTAGCAAAGGAGATGTGTTTTGGTTGATCTAGGAGTCATGAGCCCTGGGGTCTACTCTTGGCTCCCTGACTGACGAACTATATGACCCTAGGCAAGACACTTCACCTCTCTTTCCCCTCCCACCCTTTGTGTGTCTTGTCTATTTAGAGCAGTCACTCTTTGGGGGTGGGACTGTCTCCCCTTCTGTGTTGGTACAGTCTAGCACCATGGTGTCCCGATCTTAGTTGGGAACACTAGGTGCTACTGTAATACAAATAATTAATCAGCAGCAGAGAATTTGGCTATCAGTCAATGCTGCTACCCCCCTTTGGGGAAACTGATATTTTCCAAGATCAGCAGAGCAGCTTTAAAACAAAATATGAGACATGTGTAAGCTGAGTTAAATTATGGGCAGGTCAGCACAAGACTGGGAGCACTGTCCCTTTAAGTTCTGTTCTCCTCACAGCAGGGTAAATGTGCATGAATTTCCCATAGTACTTTCTACCGTACCCTTCTTCTAAAAACAGTTTTCATTCACGATGAGGCCACTCCTTTGGATCCAAATTCGGCGGAAGGTCCAAACTCTGTGGCTCAGGCTCATCTTTGGTTTTCATTCTGCCAGCTCTCTGAACAGCCACCTCTCACAAGGTCCAAACTCTCTTGAGATATATGCCTTGTTTGGCATGGTACCACCAGAGGGGGCTACAAGTACTCTTGTTGAAGCCAATACTGTATGTGAAATCATCACAGCCAGAGACAGCATGTCCATTGGGTTATTCATAATTCAACTGCATTTCATGTTCAGAAAAAGTCGACAGAAAAAACATGCTGGGCTGTTTTTTATGTATGTATATTTTTAGATAATGCTTTCCTGGTTAAGCTGTTATGACTCGAATGAGAGGTTCTTTTGTTTATAGTGGGAGCAGGACTGTTCCACTATGATGTGAAATGAATATGCTTCCACCCTGTTTACACAGAAAAGACTTGGAATTCAAAGGCAGCTCTACCCAGTCTAATCCTTCAGCACCATTAGTTCAGCAGAGCAGTGGATGGTAGATTTCAGGAGACAATCTCTGGAAGGGGCTTTTAACGGTCCAAAGAGAAACGTAGCTGGAGAAGGGACACGTGACTGGAAAAGGTGGCTATAGAATGCAGTGATTCACGCAACACTGAAGCTTCTGAGTTGGATTTTCCAAGCAAACAGCACAGACTGAACAGAGAAATGGCAATTACGAAGGATGGGGTAGAACAGCCACTTATAGAGAAAAATCTTCATTTCTCATCTATGGGAGGCTGGTTCAAGTCTCTCCTGAGATCAAAATAAAACTTGGCATGTGCAGGGCTGCAGGGCTTACGCAACGCAATGTGACAGAATGGCAACCTTTCACAAAAGCAGCTTGCTCTTTTCAAACTGGATACCGCTTCCCGGTTCAGATAGCAGACACCCAATCCCACTGCATGGGACTGAAGAGCAGCAGTAGGAAACCGGCAGCTGCACTCGCAGTGCTGAGAGGAAGAAATGGCGAGCAGACGGGCTATTACAATTATTTCCGAATAGTTTGGCTGGTCTTAACCAGAGCGTCTCTCTTTCCCTTTCCCCTTTTGCTCCCGGCTTTACTGCTGCATTATTGCGTCGGAAGGGCAGCACAGACAATGGCCTGTTTTTTCCAGGCTTTATTTTAGAAAGCGCCCACCCTACAAGCATTAAGATCCTGGCTGTGACTAATACACAGGAGGAGAAAATAACAGAAGACGGCCAATTTTCTTTGTTTTGAAGTGCTTTCCAAATTAAGGAGCTTCTTTGGAGCAGGGATGAAGCAGAGAGAGAGAAAGGCCTTCGAGGGCTTCAATTACACCAAATTATTCCTTTCATGATGGGAGGAGTGTGGAGGGGGGGGAGGCCCAGTTACTTCCTAATGTGGCTGGACACTGCTTAAAAAAAGAAAAAGAAATATGGGACTGAACAGATGTGCCTCCAAAAAAAAAAAAAAACCTGGCAAAAGAGAAAATGATTAAAATAATCAACACTGTGGGAGAAACTTCTTTGCAGTGATCTCAGAAAGCTCACTGACTGAGCCTTACCCAGGAATTAACACGTATTTAGTGCCCCTTCCAACACCAATATCCCATTCTAACCCCAGCCTTGCACCCCTGTGGAGCTGAAGCAGGCATCCAGGCCCTTGCAGCTCAGAGAAGGAGGAGGCGGAATCAGTGGTGTGGGCATATTCCAGAAGTGTAACTTGCATTAATTACACACATGCACTCGTCCTAGAACAGAGATGCAGGCAATCCCCAACTTCAGCACTCTCAGCCCAGCACTGATCCCTACTTCCTAGGGAGCTACTCTGCCTCAAGAATTGATTCTAACCAGAGACCACGGCGGACAGCAAATTCTCTTGCTGCTCACAAAACTCCCTCCACCTAGAGCCTTATGCAACCAAAAGTACCAACACCAACCTTTCTTCTAAGGCAACAAAATTGCTCACACACAGTAAGAAAAAGAACTTGGATAACTAGCTGTAATAGTGACAGCTGGTGGTGCTTGCCGCAACTGCATTCTTATCCCCATTTTATAGATGGGAAAACAGGCACGACGTGGGGCAACAGTTTCAGGGTCAGATTTTCAAGTGCTTACACCCGCAGCTGGGGACAGCTTTTCAAAATGAGCTAAGCTCCCACAGACTGCTAAAGGGCCAGATTTCCAAAAGCATTCAGCTTCCAACATACTCGGTTCTTCTGAAAGCTGGGGCTGCCTGTGGGAGTTAAGCACTTTTGCAATATTGGGCTTAACTTGCCCAAGGCAACAGAACGAGTCAATGTCAGAACCAGGACTCTTAACTCCTACTACCATAGCACACTCCCCTCTATATACTCAAAGCTAATATTACCAAGCTCTTACAGGGTTTTCATCAGTAGATCTCAAAGTGTTTTACCAGGGAGATCAGTACCCATTTTACAAAAGGGGAAACTGGCACCCAGAGAGGGGAAATGACTTGCCCAAGGTCACCCAATAGGCCAGTTGCAGAGCCAGAAATAGAATCCAAGTCTCTTGAGTCACAGTCCAGTGGAACTATAACATTTTATTACCATGAGTTTTGGGTGACTGCATTTAGCCGCCCGTAAGTTAAGCAGCTCTGCCTAAACGCACAACAATAAAACCAGGATCACTCCCTCACAATTTTGCTTAGATCACCTGTGTCCCTTAATGTCCATGTTCAGCCCCCCTCCCCGCACTGTACATGGGCCTGATCCTGCAAAAGTGCTGAATTCCCTCAACACTCACCGACTTCAGCCCTGGTTGGATCAGGGCCCATGTGTATATAATGGGCCACATCCTCAACTGGTGTAAAGCAGTGTGCTTCCACTGAAACCAATGGAGCTATGCTGATTTACACCTGCTGGGGATCTGGCGCCATAATTTTTAATCTTCACCTAAGATTTTGCTGATTGTTTTGTGTCAGTGGGCCTGATCCTAGAGTCTCATATGTGGATGCTTTCATACATCAAAGGAAATACTGTGTGCGGAAAGACTGCAGAATCAGCCCCATTTTAGGAGACTCTAAACTTTTCCACATTTCAGACATCTCAATAGTTAGTCATGGACTCCGGAGGGCACATACTGATTATAAATCCACAGAGACCACATCATTAATTCAACCTTTAATGGTGCCCATTGATACTGTTAATTATTTACTAGCTGCTAATTGATTTTCCTGGATATCCCGCTTCCTGGTCTCTCCTTCAAAATCACAATTCACCAATTGTGGCAGAATCAGCAGCAATGCAGGGAACAGAACCCAACACAGTCTATGTACCAAGGATCGCTACCCAAGGCTGGGATTTAGACCCTTTCCTTTTGAGTGTGACAGCCTGCTACAAGGTAAGCCAGACTCTTGCTTACTCTGAAGGAGGGTGACATAATGAGGTATGCTTTGGAGACTGGGTCCATCACCCAGTTTCCTGTTTCCAGGAGTGCTTGGTCCTGACATTTCTAGATTAAGAGAGGAAGAGGAGGAGGAGCAGATTATCTAGTAAAGAAGAAGAGGAAGGCTCTTACTTGCAGTCGTGTTTCTCAATTTCAAAATGAGGGTTGAAGTTGAGGATAATCTTCTGATTTGCTTCCGGGGCGTAAATGACCCACTCGCAGTTCTGGTGGGAGGGGTAGTCCTGTGGGTATTCCGGTGAAGTGATGTAACCAGCATCCTTTGAATTCAAACGACCCCCACACGACTGAACTGCAAAAAACAATCAAGAGAACAAGTGGCTGAAACTGGCTATGAACTTCAAAACATTCACATTTATGCCTTTGTTTGTCTGATAAAGAATGTTTAACAGGCCTTTACGGCAGTGCGGTCTGCAACTACAAAGCTAATCACTGGGTGCTTCCAGTGAAGGTGATTATTATATACCGCAATTCCTCCCCCCCCCCATACACACACACATACCACATTTTAGACAGACCAGAAAAGAGCCATAAACGCTCCTCCCTATGCAATTACAGATTTATTAAAAAAGAGGCAGTGAGATATCAGATCATTTGGAGCTGCCTTTATTTTCTCCCTCTATTGGCTCTTTTACAAGCTTCCTATGGCACTCTTCCATAGAAACCACAAAGGCACTGTACAAACATTGCTGGATGAAAATGCACAAAATACCCCTGGCAACTTAGGGAAGTAGCATCATCCTAACGTTGCAGGTACGGAAACTGAGGCACAGAGGGTTAAGTGACTTGCCCAAGTTCATACAGGAAGTCTGTGACAGAGCCAGGAATAGATCCCCAATCGCCTGACTCCCTGCCCCGTGCTTTAAACCACAAGACAGTCTTTCCACTCCCTTCTTCCTGCCTCTCTTCTAAGCACCTCTCCTCTCAGTTTTGTCTCTCTCCTCTTGAAACACTTCAAGCCACGGAGCAGTTGGAATTACAGACTCCAATAATCAACAATGGTGGTTTTGTGGCCCAGAAATAGCCTGGTAACAATTACATGTTGAGCAAAGGAAGCACTTTCAGCTTTGGGTTATAACAGGCCCTAGAGGGCGATTTCATCTTCAAAAAACATTTAATCTTATGAACACCACAAATCTGATTTATTATTTCATTACTCGCTGGGAGGAAAATCTGCATCATAGAATCAATTGATAACATACTAAGATTCCTAACAAAGTATCTTTCTACAATAGACATCTATAGTTTACATTCCTTGATTCCCTCAATCCCAGCAGAGCGGCCATCACTGCCACCACTGCGTGCCGCCGCTGGCTCCATTCAGCCGATAGTGCTGCTCCAACGGCGGCTGCCAACCAGATGATGCTAAGCCAACAGCATCAAGTGGCTACGGAAAGTGCTTGTGTCGCCTTCCCAGATGCAGACACTATTCAGACAATAGTTAAGTCACTCTTGTAGCCTGATTCCTGGTTCAGAGACAGGCTTCCTCCTCCCTGCCACACCCAGCCTGGACTAGAACAATGAAATAGACATAGTGGACGCAAGTGCATGTGTGTGTCCATTCATTCCCAAGCTATAAACCAGCCCAAGCCCACTCTTGTTAACAGACTGAGTGACCTCAATTGTCACTGAAGTCGTATTTGGGAAGTGTACCACCCGCCACTGAAAATGTGGGATGTTTGTGAGCAAAGGCTGAAATTCCTCACCACCAGGCACACTTACCCTTGGGAAGGTTTTAATTTAAGAGCCACAGCAAACCAGGAGGAAAGAATAAGACAAAAGGGGGGTGGGGTGGCGGAAGGAAATGCCTCCGAGATTTTGCGCCGCTGGCATCAGTCATGCTTCAATATCACCATCTGCATGAAGCGGCAAGGCCTTGTGAATTATAGATTACCTCTCAGCAGCCACCCATCAGGACCGGATCTTCTTCGCTACAGGTGCAGTTCAGCCATTCCCCAGCCTGGCAATATTATTGTCTGCGCCATTTCCATCTTAGACAAACAAACAGCTTGTCTAGAGTTCAAATGCACAGGGCAAAGAAAGGGCACGCATGTAGCACTGCACTAAAGCCATGCCTCCTCCACTTGTTCCAGCTCTGATGTGCTAATCTGCATTAGATCACAAAACAGAGCCAGGCCATTTCCTTTAAGGGGGATGCACAATCTTGTACTCACTGACAAAGCACAGGAGGGAGCCTGATCTCTAGCACAGATGAACAATTACACCAGGTCTTACACAAAGGCAGAGATAATTAGCCCATCACAAATGAGCCCACTTCTGAAAGTTACTCCCGCGCCTCTTTAAGCAAACTAAATTACATTCCTCTGGGTGCTCTGTGTACTGCATACACTGCAGGACCGCACTCATACAGGTTTTGTAACATCTTGTTAGTCAGTGCAACTGGAAATTTAGGCTTATCCTTTGGGAAGATTTAAGGCCAAGATCCTTAGCTGGTGCAAACCGGCCTAACTCCGTTGATGCCAATGGAACTACTCTGATTTACGCCAGCTGAGGATCTGGCCTTAAAGGTGTCTGAATGTGGAGCAGCAGCTGCCCTATAGGCTGCAGAGGGTGTGATTTTCCAATTTGTATGCTCCTCTGCCAGAGCTCTTTGCAGGAAAACCACAGCCCAGCAATCGACTTGCTCCATGCCGGTCTTTCTGCAATGAGAACCGTGCAGCCAGGTGGGATGGTTCTTAAGACATCACTTCAACTTAACCCGCTGCCTCTTCCCTGCAAATTCCCTGGAAAAAGAAAAAGCCTGTGCTGCATGCAGACCCAGCGGTGAACAATAGCGACAGGAAGCCTGCTCAAAGGAGGAGGGGTGCTCTGTCCTTCCCACAAAGGAGTAATCACTTCCTTTGCCACAAAACAGGACTATTTTTATCCCCTCCTACTTGTTGATGTTCTAAACCATATTCCTCCTTAAAAATAGCTTTCTCCTCGCACCTTAAAGGGCATCGCTGTGACTTTCCCTTTCCCCAAATAAAACAAAATCCTAAAAAAAAGAGCACGTCAAAACAGTTAAGAGCTGAGGACTCATAAAAACATCTGGTTTTGTTCCACAGAGAGCTTGCTCAATACAAAAATATTTACAAACGCACATTCTTGCGCAGATCTCTTTCCCTCTCTTCTGAAGCACATGCACCTACATGTGGCTATGTGGATTTTAGACAGATAAGTGCGCGCCGGTGTGTCTGCCTATCTGTTGATGCCGAGATATATATGTGTGATTCACACTTCACTCATGTACACACTTCCATACCCTCCCATAAAAATCCACACATCATTTGCACACTTGTACCCCCTGCTAACGAAGATAAATAGTCAAGCTGCAGACTGCTTTTCTTGGAAAGGGTGAAGTCTTGAAGCAATGAAAACAAATTCAATCCTTCCACTCATCATCATCCTCTCTCCAGCTTTTTCAACATGCTTACTCACTAGTCTGGTATCACCAACTAGTCACAGGATTCTCGCACCCTTACTCATGCTGAACAACAGAATGAATACTCCAGAGGCAGTCCCAATAAAGTCAATAAGACAACTCATGCATTAAGGAGATCCACCATGTGAACATGGGTATCAGAATCTGACCTTTCTTCTTTCATTCTTGGCTGATAAAATGAGGTAAAGAAATCTAGTTTCACCCCAAATCTTGGGTTCACACATTTCCATGTAAACCCATACCAGGTAGACAGGGCGGGACTGACCAGTCCCATGGGCTTGATTCTTATCTCCCACCAGTTTTAACCCTGAGTATTTTCACTGACTTCAGTGGAGATACTCCTAATTTATACCAGGTAGGTGAGATCACAATCAGGCCCAACAGTTTTACACCCAAATTCCTTTTATAATTAAGTCTAAAAGACAAAATGTAATTGAACTGAATGACACAAACAAACAGATGGGGTGGGGGGGCTGCATTTCTCAGCTCCATAGATACTAGGGAGATCAACAACTGTGTTTCTCTTTGTTACTGTTAGAACACCTCACCTGCAGGAACATGTCACCTACTACTCTAACAGGGCCAGAGGCTGCTGTGGCATTCCTCCCTTAGCAGCCCGGTTGAAATAAACAGGGTTGCAAAGGGTATACACCACAGCAGCAGCTGGTCCATAATCAGCACTTAGATACTATGACGGCGGATATTACATCAGCTAGATGAGGCCTCATAAAGCAACCCTGTCTGACCAAATGATCTAATGGCTTCTTGGGGGGGGGGGGGGGGCTAGACAATTTGGCGCTGGTGTCAGTCCAGCTTCCAGTGGACAAATGCCCTCACCACAAAAATGCACCACCAGAACGGTCACCCCTTGTTGGCAGCCCCAGCGGAGCGGCCAAGTACTGATGTGCATGAAAACTGAAGGCTAGTTTACATACTGCGTTGAAATAACAGTGTCATTTTAAGCCAGTTCAGCTTAATTGGTGAAAAAGGCTGTATGGGTGTTTGCATTTCAGCAAAAATCAGGCTTGTTTCAATTTAGCTTAAGTCAATTAAGTTGCCTGATCTTTAGATTATGTATTAATTATATTGATTACTTAAGAATCCCTAGTTATCACTTTGAGGGTTGACAGGTCCTTGCCCCAAGATCAGGCCCAGTATTATTCAAATTATGATATAGTTGGGAACCCCGATGTGCACAGCTGCAACACTCACACTATAGGAACTCTTCTCTATTTATAAATATAGTTTATGAATACATTTAGCACAGTGACAACACCCCAACTCAGTAAGGTAGATAGAGATACTACAGAATGTACATCTGCACGTCCATATACTCTCATCATCCCCTGAAGTGTTAGCCATCACCATCACCTTCCCTTCATCACCAGTGGCCATCATTCTGGCACCTCCCAAGGACTACATCTCCTTCTCCTACTGCCCCTCGGCTGCGATGCCACTTTTATAATATGTTACACTGCCGTTATGTTTGATGCATATTCAGTAGGGGATTTTTCCCCTTTTCCTTATTTGTATTTCCTCACTTTACTAATATCGAAGCGGCTTTTTCCTATAGGTTAGTATATCAATGATCTCAACTTATTATCATATACGTCAATTCGTTACCATGGCCCTTTTGTGGGTAAGTATCACATTTGTTATTTCTGTCCTAACTGGTTTTTTTGGTTCTTTCCAAATTCCAAGTTGTGATGCATCATGAACTTAAGAAGCCCCCTATGCATAGGCGCCAATTCCGTGGGTGCTCCAGGGCTGGAGCTCCACAGAGAAAAATTAGCTGGTGCTTAGCACCCACTGGCAGCCAGCTCCCCTCCCTCCCCCCCACTCCCGCC